CTATTTAAGGAAATTATTAAAAATATATAGTTTCGACATAGTTAATAAATATGTATGAAATAGTTAAAACATAGTGACAATATAGGTAAAAAATATGTAATAAATAACTGAAATGAGTTTCAACTAAGTTTAAAATAGTCAATAAATAGCTGAGTAACAAAATCATTCCAGTTTGGTTTCAATAATGACAGTGGCAAAGCTAGCCATAGCAAGTGGTCATGCTATGCAAATTTTTCATTATTTGCACTATTCAAACCTATAAGATTAAAATGATTTGTTTGTTATTAATAGTGTAGCATGACTGGTTTCCATGGCTGCATGACTTTGCTACTGAGTTATGATATTTCTTGTTTTTAATGTTATGATGTTTCAGGTTTTCATATCCTGCAAATGTGTTACACTAATGGTCCACCCCTAAGCTTAACCTTAGGATGCATTGTCAGTGGCTTGATGATTAATTAAAACATTAGTTCAAGACAGGTATTCATCAACTGTTGGTGGTGCAATGTCAAAATAGTCTGATGTCATATTTCTATGAGAACAAGTTAATATATTTCTCATGAGTGCACTAACAAGGTACTGCTTACCAACTGCACTCAAATGTATTTTGAGGTTTTCTTGTAGTCTATAAACTTAAAATAGTTGGAAATATCCCCAAATAGCCATTCCACCGAAACTCGTACCTCACTCATGGCTTTATTGAAGGCTCTCATTTGAGGAGTAAGCACCTGTACATCACCTATTTTGTATGGACACATCAGTTGCGGGCGAATTAGTGGATAGGCTTGGTCCCCATAAGTGCATAAAACATCACCAGCTGGATTGTATGCCACTTGTTGCAAGGCAGCAAGAACATTTAAATCTTTGAGCATGCCTGCATCATGACGCCGACCTTCGACTGGACCAAACAAATTAGCAACAATACCATTAGGTAAAGCCACAGCCTGAAATTTGAGGGCATGTACTCTCTTATGGCCGTTATATACCACCCGTTGGTTCTTCCCTGGGCGACAGATCTGTCGAACTGTTCCATCAACAAAACCAAAACAATTCCTGAGGGGTGCACCTTTTCTAGCAATTGCTATTGCATAACTCTCAAGGCACTCTCTCGAAAGAAATGGTTGGTTCCATGATGTAAGTCGATAGCCATGTGTTGTGTATACCCAGTCGAGGACGGTGTTAGTGATCATGCATAATTCTGGAACAGGACGACCAAAACTGTGAATCATATCTAAGTAACGGCAAGGGTAATTTAGTCTTTTCAACAAAATACACAAGCCTTCCATTCCACTACAAACAGTTCCTTGAGGACAAACAAATCTGTCTGGAATACGAAGCGATTGCTTTAAAAGAGGCAGGTCATGTTTTTCAAACCTGAATTCCGCTTTGCATTCATGGGGATCCAAATTTTCAAAATCGAACCCATCGTATGTCCAGTAAGGAAATTCTGGATTTTGAGGTTTGTACTGTGCAAATAAAACAACAAATTCCTCTTCGCTTATAATTTCATCAGCCAGAGCAATTATCAAGGCATATCGCACACTTCTTGGAATGATGGCATTTTGTTTAAAAGATTTTTTTACTTTGTATACAAGGAGAACAGAACTTAACCGTAGCTGTATTCGTGTTGTTCTATCTTAAAGTTCCCGCGCGCGGTAGATGGTGACAGTACTCGACTTTAAAATGGCGGCATTTATATATAAAGGATCTTCCGTCTTGTCTATGATCTTGTAGAGTGGGAATTTTCGAGTCGAAGTTTACGTACATTTATGGTCGTTTAGTGCAATAAAGAATAAAGGATACATTTACATGTCAAATAACTTTTGTGAAAGTCGTCCGAAAAGGTATTAAACAATAAACAATAATTTGATATAATTATATTTTATATATTGTAAAATCTAAAAATCGTTTTACAGTAATTTATATATGTTTATATATACTTATATTGGCACTTTGTCTGAGTGTATATGCCAATATAGTAGAAAGTTTTAATAGAAGGCCTTCTCTGTTTTTAAAATATTCTATCTGCAAATTATATAGGTACAATTATAGAATATAGGCCTATGTCCTTTTTTCCACTGATTATCAGTATGAAAGGTGCTGGAAGTCTGCCTTGGCAGAATTGTCATGGCAAACTCCCATTATTACTATAATTAGCCTTATTACATTTTTTTGCTGTTTAATTGCCAATGGGTTAATCAGAATATCCAGGGTCTGAAATTGGTAGTATCCCAATATCCAAAGGATAATAAATTTGGTTTTGTATACCAAACTGTGAATGACTTGTATCCCACTTGGATATTATAAAATTTCAATAGCTTTGAATACCTAGCCTACAGTGTAGACCCCAGCAGAAACACGTTTCTACACCATAGGCTATGAATACCATGAGTCTGTATTCTTCAAAATAACCAGCCTTTGATAGTTTGATTTCCAATTTGGTTGTATACTGTAGTTGTTTACTGTTGAGTCCAATGAGAGACATGTAGAGTATAAATACTACTTGCTTACTTTGATTGATGATTCAGGGATGCCAAAACGTATGGTAATCAGTATCCATGCAGAAGTGGGATACTGATTACTGGATTCTCAGATGGGATCCTAGAATTTGAAATTATCATGGTATATCCTAGTGGGGTAGTGAAAAATATTTCAGACCCTGGGCTATCTGCCCATGCACCCTGTTAATCCTTAAATGGCAATGTGCCCAGGGGGGAGGGTGCTGCCACTCAATGGGTTAAGCACTGACATTATCTATTTGGTCAACAGCACTGTATAAAAAAATGCCATGCATGCCCAGTATAAACTAAGCCACCAGTAGATAAATAATAAATTTTACCATAGATGATAAAAATATTTTGCAGAGCATTAAAGTGATGTAAATTGAAAATCAAATAAATTCATGAATTTCTGCTTCTGTCCTGAACTTCATATCTATAAAGATGAATACATATACTGTATTCCTTAGGATTCTGCATCTTTAAGAACAGTCGGGAGTATAATTATAAACACATTAATTACCACTGGTCAAGTTAGTGAAATGTATAGTGAAAAAATGAGGCAGACAAGACAAAATACTTATGCTATATATACCAATTACTTCTAAATGAAGAGCCTGTTCTAAAATAACACTGTTCTAGAAGCTTTCAAAATTCTTAGGGCCTATAGATCACTTTCAAGTCAACTTACAGGGCTAATATATATGATTGAATGGCAATTAAAAAGCTACCAAGAAATATATTTATATTCTTATATTGTTTATCTCTTCTTTTTGCAGGAGAGGCTTGCTGTGCAACAGGCCCTGCATTGGTTCTCATGTGACATTGGGTAGTAATCTGCATCTAGGTTAAAAATATGGATTTCAGTGAGACCGCAATATGAGTTTCTGGTCATCTCAAGTCATATCTCACATCTTCTATTTGTCAAATGAGTTGGTGAAGTGAGTAAAAATAAATTATATATGTACACAGTAAATATATTACACAAAAAGTATAATCACCCATTTTGGTGGTACAGTGTAGTGGTAGTATGATGATGGTATGACTGGTAGATTTTACTTCATAAGGTATGTATTTTAAGAAATGCAAGCCATACACAACTCAGAAAGTGTTGTTTATCATATATGTGTTTTGAGAGGGTTCAGCTTAATTTATTTGACACCCTAATATGTTGAGGCCCAATGATATACCAAACACACCTCCCCGTCATCACAGTATGCCTGACACTGGTACATGATTGATGATGGCCTTTGTAACTGCAGTAGGTTGTCATTCTGAAATTATGATCAAGGATCATAATTGAAATATTCTTACCTCGGGCTTCAGCCTTTATTTTAATGTGATGCACCTGTAGTTATAGAAGCTATTCTCTTTCAATTGATAAGTAAAATTGGTGCTGGAAACAGAAATGTGTGCTTGATCTCCTTGATGTATTAACTGAATATACTGATTAAAGACTGCAATGTACCCCCAATTCACATTACAATATTCCTGGTGCAATCTAGCTCTAAAGTCTAAAATTATGAATTGGACAGTGTTAAATCAATAAAAAATCCTTTGACATGGATGAATTATGAATTTTGTTAATATTCATGGCCAAACCCCAACCATAACAAAGACAGTCATGGATCAGTGACTGACTAACCATTGAATTTTGATTAAATTGTTTATAAGTACTAGATAAAACATGAGCAGCCGCGCCAATCAGTTTAAATTAGGGTCAGATCCTGACTCTGTCTCCTGATTGGATGATTGTATTCAAGCTCTCTGATTGGTTATGGATGTTTTATTTGAATCAATCAGAGAGCTTTAATACAATCATCCAATCAGGAGACAGAGTCAGGATCTGACCTTAATTCAAACTGATTGGCGCGGCTCGATGAATCAATTGCCGCTTTCAACCAGAGGTTTATTTTTCCTCTCCCCTTCGCAATGAAAATAACAAAAATAAACCTCTGGAACCAGGGTAGGAGTTGGTGGGATTAACTTAAAATCCGGCTGGTGTTAAGAGAATAAATTTCTGAATTGATGCAGCTTGGAAAGAGCGTAATGGTTTGCTTGTGAAGCATATAGGTTCGATTCCTGTAGTGCTCTATAAATCTGTTGCATCACCTGGAAAATTTACCTTTTGTAACATTTAAACAACTACCGGGTGTCCCAAAAAAAAGTACTCCGGTTTGATTCGTAATAACTTCTGAACAAGTAAAGCTTTTAAAGAGAAATAACTTGCATCAAATAGAGAAAGGACAAACTTAGATTTTGGTATATAACAGTTGTATTTCACTTAAATATTCACGGAGATATTAATGTTTAAAATCGGGAGAATATTTCTGGATGTGTCTGAAATATGCAAAAAACGGCATATCAAATATTAAGCAAGATTTGCCCGACTGAAACATGCACGATTTACCAGTAAATAAATGATACTTGACAAATTATTTATTATGAAACAAGGTATTATTATCTACAAAATACAAGCAAGATTTATTCATCCGAAATCCGTGTGTTCCTAGCACGAAAACGTTTCCTTATTTCATGAGACCACTGCATCGCGAAGGATCGTCACGAATCGTTCGTAGTTCTGAATTAAGGCATGCTGTCACAATGGAATTGTGAAGCTCTTCTAACTTCTGCAACATTAATTCTGAAATCTTGTTAAGAACACTCATATTCTTTTGCCTTTTCTTAATTTTTCAAGTTCAGAATAAACTGAGTATGAAACACAATCAAACCAAACAACTCCATAAGACATAACATTCAAGGAACTCCCCAGAGACATCCAACATTTTTGGAACAAAACGTAACAAAATAGTAGCGTCGATACTGTGTTGTGTATTTGCAAAAAGCAACATTATTTCCTTCATTGTAGAATAATATTCATCCTGCTCTAACTGAGAAATAATCAACTCCGTTTTGAACCCATGAAAACCATAAAAAAGTTAGGCTATTTAAATTAAGAAAAATTTAAGCACTTGCCTTGCATGGTCTTTCATGTACCTTATAAGTTTGTAAAGACGTATTAAATACTTGCATAATTTCGTACGTTCATATTTCAGGAAACAATGAGCAAGACTTACATGTAAGATATCTAAATCTACGCCATATCCCTTACAAACCCTAACGACAATTCGCTGAAATACAAGTTAGCCTGATATGACATAAAGCAAACAAACGCTGAAGTTAATATTTGATATGCCAATTTTCGCTAATTTTAGACATGACATCCCAAAATATGCTCCCGATTTTGAACATTAATATCTCCGTGAATTTTTAAGTAAAATACAACTGTAATATATCAAAATCTAAGTTAGTCCTTCCTCTATTTAATGCAAGTTATTTCTGTTTGATAGCTTTATTTGTTTAGAAGTTATTATAAATCAAACCGGAGTACGTTTATTTGGGACAGCCGGTATATAGCTGGACCGTTTTTAAAACACTCAACCACACAAGATTGACTTTCATGATCATGCATGTATACATGTATAATTAGTATTAGTATGTAACATCATTATATGTATAATTAGTACTGGTATGTGCAGAGCTCTTAAATTAATAGCCACGAGGGGTCGTTTATCTTATTGCATGATTACACCCAAAACTCTTTAGGACACAATGGAGAACACAATAGGTGATTGCGAAAAAATCCTTTGTTTCGATAAAAGTTTATTTGAAGCCCTTGACTATTTAAAAGTGCGCGTGGCAAAAATTGATTGGGAAGAGTAGATATCGGAATCTTGTTCAATTAGAAAGACGTTCGCTTACTAATTTTCGATCTGCTTTGGATGCCAAGATGAAAGAGCTCACGGCAGAAGGAGTTGGAACCGTAAAGAAACATGCTGACCCGCTTACAGAAGAAGACGAAGCAAGACCAGGGACCCAGGAGTGATTGATTTTCACTCTGCTGTAACTCTGCTGAGGCACTTTGAGTTAGGCTATGTTTTTCTATAATTGCAATATCTTTGGACTGAGAGGTATGAACGAGCATGTGAATCTTGTATTTGAACAATATGAGTTTGGATATGATGGCACAGGAGAATTTCTAATTTGCAACGATCGCCTTTCAAAAAATGTTCAAGGCGGATTGAAACGGAGAAAAGTTGAAGTTAAGCACTACAGGGTGTCCAAAAAAAGTACCCTCTATATAGAAATCATCCTATTGTTGTTAACATAGGATTTCATGCGCCTGGTAATTAAAAATTCAATTCAATTGTGTTTACGCACTCTTGTGTTCAGCATATAGTGCTCAGGCATTCAAATTGTAACAATAGGACAATTTCTATAGAGGGTACTTTTTGGGGGGACACCCTGTACAGTTCGCCTAATAATCCTAATTGTTTTGCTAAGCTGTTAAAGGAGTATACAGGATGTATAAAAACATAGTTAATAGAATAGATGGTTTGGAAACTCACTAGAATAACAATATAACTCATTATCTATGTTATTTAATCAACGTTTATTCATAAATCTGGTCGTTTACGTGCGTATTGTATTTTTGCCGAACTAACCAATAATAATGTTTTAAGAAAGTTGCCTATCCGTGACTCGAACAATAGGGTAAATTGGAAATTGCTATTGGTGAATTTGCCGGCAAAAATAAAATACACACGTGACGGTAAAGGACCATATTTATGAATAAACGTTGACTAGCTAACATAGATAATGAGTTATATTTTTATTCTAACGAGTTTCCAAACCATCTATTCTATTAACTATGATAAAAAGAACGCAACCTCAGAATTTCCTGAGAAATCCACTTTGCAATTCTTAAGCATAAAAGATTTTAGGCCCCTGGGAATTGAAATCGAATTGCTATTAGATCATATTACTGTTGTTGT